GGCACCCTGCCCAGGAGCAGTCCTGGATGTCCCCATGTCCCCCCCGCGCCCGAGCGGCTGCGAACAATGAGCAAGAGGCAAAAGGGAATGGAGACAAAAGAAATACAATCTTTATTGGTAGAAGCAACCAACCAAAAGACACATTTTATTTATTACAAAAAAAGAAAAAACAAAAGAAAACAAAAAGAAAAAAAAAAAGGCCCAAATGAGGTACCGGAGGACTGGAAAAGTCAGCGTCACTTCGGTCTTCAGAAAGAGCAAGAGAGAACCAGGAACTCCGGGCCGATCCAGCCTCTCTTCCACGCCTGGAAAGGTGATGGAGCAGCTCCTCCTGGAGGCCATTCCCGGGCATTCCAAGGGAAGGAAGGTGACCGGGGGAGGCAGGGCAGATTAACAGAGGGGATGTCATGTTTAAGCAACCTGAGAGCCTAACACTATGGGACAGACGGATGTTGGCAGGCAGTGATGTCTCCCTTGACTCCAGCAAGGTTTTTCACACCCACGGGGTCCTCACAGGGGAGCTCGGGGGACAGACAGACACGCAATCACAGGCAGGAAAACAGGGTAAAAATAGCCAAGGGCCTATGGACCCCGCAGACCCACAACTGCTGATAAACCAGAGACACCGTGAGCGTCCCGAGGTGCCTGTGGCCACCCACACGGCCCAGTCTTGGCGTGGGGACAACAACATGACATGGGCCCTGGAGCACAGGGGGGTTGTGCAGTGGCTGGGGGGGGGCAGTGTCTCCGGTACTGGGGTCCTCCCCATGGTGGCATCAGGGACCCCCTGTCTGGCCAGCTGGGCTGGCACCACCCTGTCCCCTCCACCCTCCGTGTCCCTTGGCTGAGCCCTGAAGGGCGATGGATGATGGGGAGGGGATTCAGGGCGAGGGGAGACCCAGCCCATGTCCTAGCAACCAGTTTCCTAGCAACGCGGTGGTTGCCTAGCAGCAGTCAGTGGGGAGACAACTGTTGTTCCATTCTTAAGGAGACGGGAAAGAGCTGGGGGGCCAGGGGTGCCGCCCTGCCATGCAGACCCCCAGTGCCACTGGGAGCCCCTGTCCCCATGGCTGTGTTCCCGGGGTGATGTCCCCCCCGCCCCCTGTGGCACTGCAGGGCTGAGCCCTCCTTTGTCTATGGGAAGCGCCCGGATTGGGGCCCCTTTGTGTGCGGCTCCGGGCACCCCTGCCAGGGCCTCCCTGCTGCCCCCCCTCGGGTCCTGCAGCATCAGGTGCTGCAGCATCCCTGCACCGCCACACCCTGCTACACCGTACGCTGCACCACCATGGCCTGCTACACCATGCCCTGCACTGCCACACCCTGCTACACCATGTCCTGCTACACCATTCCCTGCACCACCCTATCCTGCTACACCATGCAGTATCATTGTGTCCTACTACATGCCCCACACCGCCATGCCCTGCTACACCAAGCCCTGCACCACCCTGTCCCATTACACCATGCCATGCACCACCATACCCTGTGCCATCGTGCCGAGTACCACCCTATCCTGCTGCACCATGTCATGCACCACCATACGCTCCACCACTATGCCCTGCTACACCATGCCCTGCACAACCATGTCAAGCTACACCATGCCACATGCCACCCTATCCTGTTACACTGTGCCGTGCAGTGTTGTGCCCCGCACTATCGTGTCTGCTCCATGGGGCTCTGCTGTGGGAGGGGGACACACTGTGGTGCCCCTGCCCACCCACAGCTGCGCTGTGCTGGGCTGCTCCACGGGGCTGCAGACACGTCAGGGGCCCAGCAACCGTCACCAGGAGCCGCCGCGTTGCTACCAACAGTCAACACAGCACAGGCGTCGGGGCAGCGCCTGGGGGGGGTGGCTGCGTGTGGGGGGTGGGAGCATGTCCCTTTGTTGGGGTACAGCAGGACTCGGCACCAGGTCCCCCCCCATGGTGGCATTGGAGACCCCCAGCCTGGCCAGCGGGGCTGGCACCGCCCTGTCCCCGCCGCCACCCCGTCGCGTCCCCTGGCTGAGCCCTGCAGGGCCATGGATGCCAGGGGATGTGGCAGGGGGGCAGCCCATGTCCTAGCAACCGGTCTCCTAGCAACGCGGCGGTTGCCTAGCAGCGGTCAGCAGGAGAGGGCTGGGCGTCCATAGCTAAAGAGATGGGAAGGGGCTGGGAGGCCGGGGGTGCCCCCCCCCCCCGCGGACCCCTGATGCCATTGGGAGCCCCTGTCCCCATGGCTGCGTCCCCAGGGGTGATGTCCCCCCCTGCTCCCCCGCAGCACCGCAGGGCTGAGCCCTCCTTTGTCTGCGGGAAGCGCCCGGATCGGGGCCCCTTTGTGTGCGGCTCCAGGCACTCCGCATTGCGGATGCGGATGTGCCTGGAGCTGAGCATGGCCGTGGGATCGCAAGCAGCCCCTGGATACATGGAATGTGGGAAACATGGAGGAAAACACAGGAAAAGACTGTTTGCGAGCAGGAGGGGAGAGGCAATGACAGTGGCTCCAGGGGTGGCAACTGGGACTGGTCCTGCCCTGTATGTCCAGCCTGGAGAGACCCCTGGAGCCTGCAGGGATATGGCTGGGAGATGGAATGGGGTTGGGAATGGGGACCCCTGGGAACCTGGGTGTGGCTGGAAATGGGGACACAGCCAGGAATGGGGACCACAGAATGGTGAGGATGAGGATCAGGGTGTGGCTGGGATCAAGGACATGAGCAGGAACAGGGACAATGGTGCAGCGGGGATGGCTGGGACTGGGGACACGGTCAGGAATAGGGACCACATCATAGCAGGGATGGGGACCGGGGTGTGGCCAAGAGTGGGGACACAGCCAGGAACAGGGACCACAGCATGGTGGGGACATGGATGTGTCTATGGTGCAGCAGGGTTGGGTACCAGGGTGTGGCCAGGACTGGGGACCAGGGCCCAGCAGGGAACCAAGATATTGGACACGGGCAGGAACAGGACCATGGCATGATGGGGATGAGGACCAGGGAGTGGACAGGAATGGGGACAGGAACCAGGACATGGCTAGGGACATGAGCACCAGAACATGGCCAGGAATAGGGACGATGGCATGGTGGGGATGAGGTCCACGGTATGGCCAGGATGTGGGGCACAGTCAGGAATAGGGACCATGGCATGGTGAGGATGGGGATGTATCTGAGAAGAGGGACTCGGTCAGGAACGATGACCACAGTGTAGTAAAGATGGGGACCAGGGTGTGGCCAGGACCAAGGATATGTCTAGGAACAGGGACAACGGCGCGGTAGGGATGGGGATCAGGGTGTGGCTGGGTTTGGAGACCAGACTGTGACCGAGGACAGGGAGGCTGGGAAGGGGGGTGGGGGGGGAGCACACGCAGGAGCCCCAAGCAACGGGGCCCAGCGGGACCGGCCCGGCAGGACCGGCCCGGGCCGGCCCGGGAGTGCCGGCTGCGGCCCGG